TCCTTGTCGATCATCAACACAGAGCGCAGACGGTCCACCACGTCGGAGACGTCATCGGCTGACAGATCGCGCTCGTAAAACGCAACGGTCTCGGCATTTATCCACTCGGATTCCAGGGCAACAAACCGTAGGAGGGAGCGGAGACGCTTGTGTTCAGAAGGTAAGGCGCGCAAGTCTTCGGGGGGAAATGCGGACCGTAAGATTTGCAGATACAGCGCGTCGAGGGGCGACACCGCCGGACCCCCGCCCGAGAGGACAAGCTCAAACCATTCCTTCGGATGACTGTGATGCTCGTCCAAGAAATTTACGGTGATCCGGGCGAAGATGAATACGCCGGCCGCACGTGAGACGAGGCGTCTGAGGGCGTCGGGGTGCTCGTTGAGGTAATCGGCATAGGAGGGTATCTTCGGTACGGTTTCCTTGAGGTAATGCTCGACATCACCGTCACTGTCCGCTGCGTCCTCCAGTCGCATATGGTGAACGACATCGGCTGAGCTGGGGTGTGCAAGTACCGACAGGATGTGGGGCTCTGGTCGTGACGCGGCAAAGACGTACAGCCACGGTAACTCCCGGACAAGACTGAACAAGGACCGAAGAAGCTCGGGAACCAGCCCCCTGTCCTTGCACTCGTCTATTCCGTCAATGACAATCAATGTTGGGGCTTGGTCTGCGGGAGCGGCGACGAGAGCCTTCCGAAGGAGCCCGTCGAATGAGTGTCGCATCTGCTGCCGGTCGCCGTGATTGAGGTACTCTCGTGCGGCACTAATAATATAAGGGCGAAGGGCCGGCTGGGACACTGCAAGCTGGCGTGCGAGCGTCGAAAAGACGAGGTGCGCGTCCTCGAGGTCCCCGCGGCCGCGGACAAAGAAAAACGATGCGCCGAGTCTGAGCGAACAATGATCCGCTGCGTCGTGGCGAACGCAAAGCTGATGTGAAATCGAGGACTTCCCTAGACCTGCCCCGCCAGTAAGGTAGCAGACTCGTTCGTGCTTGTCCTTGGGGAATCTACTGGTTGACCACTGCTCGAGCTCCGTGAATAGTGCTTCCCGGGTGCCTTGCATAAATCCGCTCTTTAGTTCGTCCACCGACCGATATCCTGCGTCTGCTCTAGGAATGGAGTCGATAACTTTCTGGTCCTCTTCACGAGCATAGGTCAGTTCCGGGCGAAGCGTGCACGAGAGGTTCGCAAATAAACTTACCAGCTTTCTGTTGCTGCTCCTCCTGTTGACGTTGATTCTCTCGTAGTTGGTGTTGGTGTTCCTGCTGTTGACGCTGATTCTCCTGCAACTGCCGTCGTGTTTGCTGTAGAGAGATATTATACACTCGCCGCCTGAGATGACTGCATTGCACGAACCTTCATATCCTCCGCGACCTCGGTAAGCACTTTCTGGATGGACATCGTGCCCCTGAGCTAGAGTAAACAAGTAATTATCAAAGCGTGCATCCAGAGTTGGCAAGGTCGACGGACCATAAAAAGGCTCATCGCTTTTGCCATGTCTTCCTTCATATCTGACAGGATCGCTTGGTTCTGCGACCCATACACGAGTCCCTTCAGGAACCCACGGAACCCTTGTCCGCCCTTGAGCTCCCCCGCGCGTCCTTGAAGGTCATCGATCGTGCTGGCTTGGTTTCAGCTTCGCCCCCGGCGATGATTAGACCCTGAGCGCACCTCTGCAGACCGCTTATCTGATTCTGAAGGTCGTCAGAGTGTGTGATCTTGTCCAATAGCTCTTCCTTGTCTTGAACATCGCCATCGTACCCTGCCACTGCAGCGTTCACATTGGCCGGCGTCGTGTTGATGACAGTCTTGAGTGCGTCGGCCCGAGCTAGGAAGGCACTGCGCGCTCCCTTGTTTTCTCGAACAATCTATAAACAAAGGAGTGTCGTAGGGTGCCATTCGTTAGTTGAGTGGGGTCGACACACCTTGACTCTCTCGACGAGCGTGCTGAGCCCCTTTGCGATGAGAGGTAGGCCAGGCACGGGGGCAAGCCCTAGAGCATCACCGGCCAGGTCGAGGATGGGAGAGGCGACATCGAGAACAACATCGACAGCCCCACGGGGCGGCATGGTCAACTACGGTGAGTATGTCGCGGACGGTGTAGACAGACTTTCACAGCACAGAAGGGAGCAGGCATGGGTTCACCATGTGCCAGCCTCGTGCACCGCCGGCCATGAGACGTGGATTGGAAGAGAAGCTGATTCCTCGCTGCAGGCTGTGTGATAGAGTTTAATAGTATGAAGACGCGTGCCTTTCATGCCGCGATATTGGCGGCGTTAGCTCGTCTGCCAAATGTGGTCACCGTTGCAATGTCTTGGAACAAATCGCCGAGGCCTTGTGGCGTCCGGCAAGGATCCGCCGACCGGGCTCTGCTCTGCACCATGAGTCGATCTCCGCCCCGCATCAGATGGCCCTCCACAGACTCTTCTAAGCCTTGAAATGATACCTCTGCCCACTCCCCATCTGAGCCGCCTTATCTCTCAACGCTGTGACTGGCCCTTCTCCTCAGCGCAAAGCTCACGGACCACCACCATATCGGATCTTTTCCATACCCATGAGATTTCTGTCTCAGACCTGAGACTTCTCAACAAGCCTTCAAGACGAGTATTTGCCTTTCAAGTGACTCGCGGAGCTTAATGAGCGGCCAGGCTTGTGTTTTGGAGCGCCAGCCGGGAGGGAAAGGTCGTTGGGCGGAAGTATATTACGGAGCCGGGCCTAAGTGCGCGCATACACTCACTTTTAGTCGACTGCCTTCTAAGAATCCACAGCAGAATGACCCCAATGCGGTGCCGAGTCTCACAATGGCCAGCTCGTGTACGATCCGCTTTGAGCCGCCTTCCCCAGAGCGACGATGGCCATCAGTGGAGCGACCGAAAACTCGGATACAGGCCTAAACAGAATGGGACCTGTCAGCGCGATCTGCAAGAGCGCATCCCAGGAGGGCTGGCTGCGTTAGGCCTCATGAATTCAAGCCTCAATCCGCTCCGAAAGGCCTGCGAGCAGCGTCAGTCTGCATTCGAAGAAGAGCAAGCCATAGCTCGTGAACGACAAGATCGCACGAGACGTCAAATACACCATCATTGCCTTGGTGAGCAAGCCCATGAAAGTGTGCGTGGGCAGCTGTGCTGTGCTGTTCAACCCGATGCATTTTTGCGCGTTGGCCTGGGAACGTGAATGTTCATTCGGCTCTCTTGACGAGCTCCGGCCCTTATGCAGATATCAGGACTGACGAAGGTGTGAGCATCTCCCACGGTGACGCAAGCAAAGAAGGCCTCCTTGCGCTTCTGTCGCTCTATCGCGCTCACGACCGTGTCCTGGCTTCACACTCTGCCCAGCCTTCAAGGAACGCCGACCTGGACACGGCCAGATGCGCAATCTGCTCGAGAGGTATATCCTTCCATCACCCTACTTTGGCTTGGACAAACGCTCTATGAATGTTTGGATGGATGTAGACATTGTGGTCCGCGTATACTCGACCGCGCTGCGCGTGGATGGCCCGAAACGCGCGAAGATAATTGCAATCATTTGGGCGCCTGACCCTACTGACCCGTCAACTGACGGTCGGCTGACCTGACCGGTCAGTCACTTCTGACCCCCACTGACCCTGGGTCAGTCTGACCCTCCCATCACTGGCTGGGAGGAATCACGAGCGCAAAGCGATGCAGACGAGATGGAGAAGGTCTTCATCACCATTGCCGACGTCTACTTGGTGCGCTTGCTACCATTAGCACTGTGCCTAAGGCATGTGATGTTGTGCTAACGCCGGTAGACGGCAACAAGCGGCCGCCGAGGAAGTTGAAGGATGTGCGGAAGTAGGTGCTCGGAGGACCTCATGTCAGACAATGATCAACAGGGATTTTGCCGTCGCTGCCTTCATCATTGACTTCTCTTCCTACAGCGCAAGCGTTTTGGTTCTGTGCGCCATCTATATAATGCGACGTATCGTACTAGATCATAATCAGCGAGTCTTCAGAGTAATTTAGCGTGTGCTTATATACAGCTGTAATCGGCAATAACAGCGGAAAGACGGAGAAATACAGAAAATAAGAAATGTGCGTGGTTAGTAAGTTTTGGCTCTCTTTTTACCTTCTCCCGAGGCCCTCGCGCTAGGTGCCGTGGGCTCTTCTTCGGCAGAGCTCGGAGTAGGTGGTGAAAATATGGAGGACAGTTGATCGTCTGCGGGTGTGGGTGCACGTCTGGTGTGAATGCCAGAGACTGCAATATGTGAGGTCGTAGGGCAAGCGACAAGTCTACTGTCAGGAGGAGCGACTGGCAATGGTACAGCATCGGCCATATCAGGTGCCGTACCGCCATTTCCGGCAGAAGGGACGGTGTCGCTGTCCAGGGCGGGTTCGGAAACCATCTCCGGTGTGACAGAGGTGATGGATGGAGACGACGGGATGGCGACAGTTGGGCTATAGAGGGGCATGCTGGGCTGAGAGGGATTGGCATTCCGACCTGCCAAACGAGCCCGTTCCTCATGCGAATATAACCTCTTGCACCACAGCTCCCTGGTTGCTTCATCTCGATCTATTTTCGTCCAAAAATCTGCTATGGTGGCCTGATATCGAGTCAAGTGGCTGTCGTCGACAGTGAGATCTAGGACGGGAAGCAAGTCTTGATACTCATGCGGAAGCCTTGAGATTGCCTGAGATATGTCGTCCGAGGTGATTTGTGGTGGAGCATGGCTTGGAGATGTGACTACGCCGAGCGCCCATAGTTTGACACAAATGCCAAATTTGAGGAACTCAGAGCATATTGCTTTCCTGGCTCCAGAAGGCTGCAAAATAAATAATAAAACCATTAACATATGACAAATATATGCGGCACATGATTAGCCAAGATTGACTGCTCACTTGAAGACAGTCCCATATACACCGTATACTATAGTCACGCAAGTAAGGAATAAATTCTACGACGTGCCACATGTGCAATGCCAGTCGAATATCTCGCACGAACTGAGACAGTTGCTCCTCCAGCTTCACAGTATGTTTGGCCAGCTGGACATGTCTCCACCAGCCATCCACCACGATATCAAAGTTGACGCGTGCGTGCTGGGGCTGCGCGTATGGTTTCTGCAGGTAGTATGTGCAATGCTCAAAAGACATGGCCGCTAGACAAGCACATGCAAGGTAAGCGTGCCCTTCAGACTTGTCCACATGGTAGAGCATATCGCTGCAGCGGTGCTCATCGACAAGGAACTCGCCGAACGACGCGTGGAGGGGCATCACATCTCCGTCCTTGTCGATCAACAACACAGAGCGCAGACGGTCCACCACGTCGGAAACATCGTCGGCTGACAGATCGCGTTCGTAAAGCGCAACGGTCTCGGCATTTATCCATCGAGATTCCAGGGCAACAAAACGCAGAAGGGAGAGCAGACGCTTGTGTTCGGAAGGTAAGGCGCGCAAGTCTTCGGGGGGAAATGCGGACCGTAGGATTTGCAGATACAGCGCATCGAGGGGCGACGCCGCCGGACCCCCGCCCGAGAGGACAAGCTCAAACCACTCCTTCGGATGACTATGATGCTCGTCCAAGAAATTGACGGTGATCCGGGCGAAGATGAATACGCCGGCCGCACGTGAGACGAGGCGTCCAAGGGCGTCGGGGTGCTCGTTGAGGTAATCGGCATAGGAGGGTATCTTCGGTACGGTCTCCTTCAGGTAATGCTCGACATCACCGTCACTGTCCGCTGCGTCCTCTAGTCGCATGTGGTGAACAACATCGGTGCAGTTGGGAGATGCGAGCACCGACAGTATATGGGGTTCCGGGCGCGATGCGGCAAAGATATACAGCCATGGTAACTCGCGGACGAGACTGAACAAGCATCGAAGTAGCTCGGGAACTAGCCTCCTGTCCTTGCATTCATCTATCCCATCAATGACGATCAGCGTCGGGGCCTGGTCCGCGGGACCGGCGATAAGAGCCTTCCGAAGGAGCCCGCCGAACGCGTGTTGCATCTGCTGCCGGTCGCCGTGATTGAGGTACTCACGTGCGGTGCTGACGATGTGGGGGCGGAGGGTCGGTTGAGAGACCGCAAGCTGGCGTGTGATAGTCGAAAAGACAAAGTGAGCATCCTCGAGGTTCCCGCTACCGCGGACGAAGAAGAATGACGCGCCGAGCCTGAGCGAAGGCTGCTCCGCTGTGTCATGGCGGACGCAAAGCTGGTGGGAAATCGACGACTTCCCTAGGCCTGCCCCACCAGTGAGGTAGCAGACTCGTTTGGGCTTGTCCTTGGGGAATCGACCAGCCGACCACTGCTCTAGCTCCTCGAATAGCTCTTCCCGCGTGCCTTGCGTGAATCCGCTCTTGAGTTCGTCCACCGACCGATAGCCTGCGTCTGCTCGAGGAATGGAGTCGATAATTCTCTTGTCCTCTTTACAGGCAGTGGTCAGCCCCTGGGCGAGGCGTGCACAAGAGGCTCGTGAATGGACTTACCAGCCTCCTGCTGTTGATGCTGATTCTCCCGTAGCTGACGTTGATTTTCCCGTAACTGATCTTGAATATGCTGTAGAATGGTGTCATGGACAAGCCGTATGAGATGACTGCATCCCACAAACCTTTGTATCCTGCGCAACCTTGTCAAGGATGTTTTCGATGGATATTGAGCCGCCGAGCTGGAGCAAGAGAGTATGCATCAATGCTGATATCAAGAGCCGATGAGGTCGGCATACTTTGAACAGTTCTAATGCCCTTGCCAGCTCTTCCCTCATGTCTGAAAGAATCGCTTGGTCCCGAGACCCGTAGACGAGTCCTTTCGAAAACCCGCGGAACCCCTTCCCGCCCTTTAGCTCTTCCGCACGCCCTTGAAGATCGTCAATTGTGCTGGCTGTCTTCAGCTTTGCCTCGGACGGACGGTGGTCAAAACCTGAGCGCACCTCTTCAAATCTCTTATCCGCTTCTGCAGATCATCAGAGTGCTTGATCTTGTCCAATAGCTCTTTCTTATCCTGCGCACTGCCGTCGTACCCGGCGACTACGGCCTCCACATTTGCCGGCGTTGTATCGATAACAGCCTTCAGCGCATCTGCCTGAGCTAGGAAGGCACTGCGCGCTCCCTTGTTTTCTCGAACAATCTATAAACAAAGGAGTGTCGTAGGGTGCCATTCGTTAGTTGAGTGGGGTCGACACACCTTGACTCTCTCAACAAGCACGCTGAGCCCCTTTGCGACGAGAGATAGGCCAGGCACCGGGGCAAGACCTAGGGCATCGCCAGCCAGGTCGAGGATGGGAGAGGCGACATCGAGGGCAACATCGGCAGCCCCACGGGGCGACATGATCGACTATGATGAGTGTACCGTGGACGGTGTGGGCAGACCGTGACTTTCACAGCACTGAAGTGAGCGGGCGATGCATCTTGTGCTGGCCTCGTGTACCGGCGGCCATGAGAGGTGGGGAAGCTGATGTCTCGCTGCAGGCTGTGTGTTAGAGTTTGATAGTGCGAAGACCGCACTTCGTCCCGGGAGCCGCGTGCCTTTTGGCAGCGCAGGCGCGGAGGCGTCAGCCTCAGCGTGCCATCTCCTGCCTAATGTGGTACTCATTGCGAGAGTCATCCCGACGCGAAGGTCCAATATCAATGTCTTGGACCAAATCGTCGAGGTCTTGTGGCACCCGGCCGGGGATGAGTCGGCCGGCGTTCCTAGCCCCGGCCTGGCTCTGCTCAACGTCTGCCATGAGTCGGTCTCGAGTACGGCAAGGGAGCCTGAAGCCTCGGCGTGCCATCTCCGGTTAGCTCGCAATGTCTTGGGAGGCCTTGTGGCGTTCGGCCAGGATCTGCCGGCGCTCCCAGCCCCGACCGGGCTCTGCTCCGCCCTTCGTCCACTATGAGTCGATCTTTGCACCGCATCAGATGGTCTTCCACAGACTCTTCTAAGCCTTGAAGTGACACTTCTGAATATGACCTACGCTTCATCTGAACCGCCTTATTTCTCAACGCTACGGCTGACCCCTCTCCTCGGCACAAAGTTCACGGACCACCGTATCCTTTCCATACCTATGAGATCTCTGTTTCAGACCTGAGGTTCCTTAACAAGCCTTCAGGACGAGTATCTGCCTCTCAGGCGACTCACCGAGCTGAATGAGTGGCCAGACTCGTGTTTTTGGAGCACCAGCCGAGAGGGAAAGGTTGTTGGGCGGAATTATACTCCGGAGCTGGGCCTAGGTGCGCGCATACACTCACTTTTAGTCGACTGCCTTCTAAGAATCCACAGCAGAATGACCCCAATGCAGTGCTGAGTCTCACAATGGCCAGCTCGTGTACGATCCGCTTTGAGCCGCCTTCCCCAGAGCGACGATGGCCATCAGTGGAGCGACCGAAGGCTTAGATACAGGCCTAAACAGAATGGGAACTGTCAGCGCGATCTGCAAGAGCGCATCCCAGGAGGGCTGGCCGCGCCAGGCCTCACGAATTCAAGCCTCAATCCTCTCCGAAAGGCCTGTGAGCACCGTCAGTCTGTGCATTCGAAGAAGAGCAAGCCATAGCTCGTGAACGACAAGATCGCACGAGACGTCAAATACACCATCGTTGCCTTGGTGAGCAAGCCCATGAAAGTGTGCGTGGGCAGCTGTGCAGTGCTGTTCAACCCGGTGCATTTTTGTGCGTTGGCCTGGGAACATGAATGTTCATTCGGCTCTCTTGACGAGCTCCGGCCCTTATGCAGATATCAGGACTGACGAAGGTGTGAGCATCTCCCACGGTGACGCAAGCAAAGAAGGCCTCCTTGCGCTTCTGTCGCTCTATCGCGCTCACGGCCGTGTCCTGGCTTCACACTCTGCCCAGCCTTCAAGGAACGCCGACCTGGACACGGCCAGATGCGCAATCTGCTCGAGAGGTATATCCTTCCATCACCCTACTTTGGCTTGGACAAACGCTCTATGAATGTTTGGATGGATGTAGACATTGTGGTCCGCGTATACTCGACCGCGCTGCGCGCGGACGGCCCAAAACGCACGAAGATAATTGCAATCACGGCGGTCATCGGCGACCCGAGAGCGACGTCTATATGTATGTCCTCCCATTGGTTACGAGCGTGGCTGCCTCGTGCTCAGCTTGTTTCGCAGCGCCGAGTGGATTCCGAATCAAGGCGTACTCGGCCCACCCGACGAACAGAGCGGACACCTGGCTGCGCAAAACCCTCGTTCTGTATCCCTGCAGCAAGCAAGACCGCAGCGACTGGGCGACCAGGACTGATATCGTAACAGCATCGCTACTGACGTGGTCGGCTACCCTTCGCAGACATCTTTAGGTACTTCCCTATGTCATCGATGCCTTGGTGCGGACACTTAGATGGACGATAAATATTGTAGGGACGGCTTAATGAGGGGAGTAACGTCAGCAGAAGGCGCAGTGCGTCCTTGCAGGGCTTGGATGCATGCGCCTGTTAGCGGGAGCCCTACTATAGAAGACCTCTTGTGACTAAAATCGGGGAATAATATAGAGGGATGTCAAGCACGTTACAGTCGTTTGCATATGAAACTGCAGTCCGTGATTCTTGTCCTGATATTTGTTCCGTACAAATACTGCCCTTGAAGGCAATGCGTGCTGTAAACGCACATTGTCACGCCCTTTCACTCAGCTCGAGGTAAGGTGGAACGACGTGCTCAAAATATCTGAAAAAATGTTCAAATATTTTATCGCAACGGATATCTTGGAATGCAATAAAGTTAGCTCGACGTTTAGTACTGCCGGGAGATGAAAGGCGAAGGGGCCACATGTGCGCTTGGCACAACACTAGGCGCTGGTAGGCACATCGAGTGCTCGCCTTCGGAGATTCCGCGCTACGCACACCAAGAATGCAGGCGGGGCTGTCAACAGTTTGCAGTAAGCCATCGCGGAGAAAGCTTAGCTACACGAAGGCCAATGCGACGACATTAATGTTGGTTTGTGATCCTTTCGTGACTTTCCGTGACTATCACCGCACCAGATAAGGCGAACTTGTACGGAACAAATACTGGAACAAAATCACGGACTCTGGGCCTGGGGTCAGTGCCAGCGCGAGCGCTCTTTGCATTTGCACTCTCGTTCTATTCCCTCGAGAGATCTACCTTCCATTAATACCTTGCGCATCTCCTGTTGAATTGTGGAGAATAACTTCAGACCCCTTGCCGCCGTTGTCTGTACCCAGGGCGCTCATGTCACACTCCTCCAAACTAGACTTGCCGCCTCTGTTGCTCCCGCCCCGACCAACTTGAAGCGCGGTCGTGCAGACTGGTCTCGCGGCAGCCAGGGACTAACGAAGGTAGTAAGATGTGCGTAACGCCTTCATAATATAGTGAATCCGGAAGCTAACAGTCGCATACTTCAGAGTCTAGCTGGTCGCACCTGCTGGAGTCGATGCACCAGCATTGGCCAACATAGAAGATCG